TATGCGAAGATGATGGTTGTATATGCACGTAATCATGTACGTATATACTCGTAAACGTATCCAGATCCACATAAGCATGTATGATTTTACATATACAGATGTACCTTGCATTAATTCAATGGGAAGAATTCAGACACACGCAAGCACGCATACACACACACACACACACACACACACACACACACACACACACACACACACACACACACACACACACACACACACACACACACACACACACACACACAAACATGCACATATACATATACATATACATATACGCATACATATACATATACATATACATTCAAACATACATAACTCTCTCTCTGTCACGCACACGAATGCTAACATATACATACTAGCTCACGATCACACATTCAAGCACACGAACACACATGCAAATAGACAAAATCTACAAAGACATAGACAAGCATACTCTTACACGCAGGTACATGCAAGCACTTAATTATCTACAAACACACACTAGCAAACATACAAACACACAGCTCAAACACATACACACCTACACCTACTGAGAAGTGCAAACAAAGACTTACAAACACACACGCATGCACGTACACACGCAGACGAACACACACGCATGCACGCACAAACACAGACGAATAAACACACGCATACACGCACACACGCAGACGAACACACACGCAGATGAACAAACACACATGCACACAGACGATCACACACGCATTCACGTACACACACGCATTCACGTACACACACACACACACACACACACACACACACACACACACACACACACACACACACACACACACACACACACACACACACACACACACACACACACATTCACACACACACACACACATTCACGTACACACACACACACACACACACACACACAGACGAACACACACACGCAGACGAACACACACGCATGCACGCACACTCAAGCCAAGGTGAAGGCCCGTCCCCGCCTGCATGAGATTGAGGCCAGCGGAGAAAGTCTCCAGTCCGCAAGACCACCGCCTGTCGAGTCGATTGCTGCCCTTTTGGGGTGTAAGGGCTGGCGTTGTGGTGGCCAACTGGGGGGGGGGGGAGATAAGAGGGGGGAAGGTAGGAGGGGGGAGGGGGGATGGGAGTAGATAAGAGGGGAAGGGGGGATAGGGAGGAGGGAAGAGGGAAGAGGGGGGAAAGTAGGAGGTAAGAGGGAAAAGGGAGGAGAGGGAAGGGAGGAAGGAAGAGGAAGGAGGGCGAATAGAGGAGGGAGAATGGGGAAGAGAGGGGGGGAAGGGAGGAAGGAAGAGGAAGGTGGACGAAGAGAGGAGGGAGAATGGGGAAGAGAGGGGGGGTGGGGAAGGGAAGAGGGAAGAGAGGGGGGGGTGGGGAAGGGAGGAAGGAAGAGGAAGGCGGACGAAGAGAGGAGGGAGAATGGGGAAGAGAGGGGGAGGTGGGGAAGGGAGTAAGAAGAAGGGAGTTGGTAAGGGTCGGTGGGGAGTTGTGAGTGGGCGTTAGTGAAGGGAAGGGAAGAGGGAAGGGAGTGAGAAAGGAGAGAACTGGAGGAATTTTAAGGAGCGTCTTGAAAAGGTTTCAGGGGTTGACGAGGCACTGGGGAGGGGGGGAGGAAGAAAAGGGGGGCAAAGGAATTAGATTTGGGGGATTAACAAGGAGTAGAGAGAGAGAGAGAGAGAGAGAGAGAGAGAGAGAGAGAGAGAGAGAGAGAGAGAGAGAGAGAGAGAGAGAGAGAGAGAGAGAGAGAGAAGGGTGGTGGGTAGGCAGTTATGAAAATGGTCAGCCTATGTATATTTGTGTGAATTAGTATCTGTGTGTATGTGTAAGCGGCGATGGTTCTGCGTTGGCTTTGCGTAAGTGTGTATACATTTATGCGTGCATATGTATCTCTGTGTGCGCGTGTGTTTGCATGTGTGTGTGTGTGTGTGTGTGTGTGTGTGTGTGTGTGTGTGTGTGTGTGTGTGTGTGTGTGTGTGTGTGTGTGTGTTTGTATGTGTAGGTTTATGCGTGCATGTATGTGCGTTCCGGCACTTAATATTAGAAATACTAGAATTACTATCCTGTGTATTTATATATTCACTTAAAATCTCCAGATATATCGGGACCGTAAGATCACTCCCAAATATTTTAAAAATAACAACAAAAAAAGCTACAAAAAAACTAATACAGACGCGCGATGACACAAATCCACGAAGATCAGACTGACTCAGATTATGGATACTTTTTCTGAACACTGAGTCACACCATCTATCGCCTGGGAAGGACTGGCACGATTCGAACATATGAATGACGTAGATACACACAGTTGACAGGCAAGACCCTGGCAGTGTGACCTCCAGGCGTGACGTGGCAAATGGGGTCTGATGCTCCACAGCGGCGCTTGTTGCTGCTGTTGACCTCGTGCACGTGTTTGCAATACGGATGATTATTGTATGTTATGTCGGTGTTTTTTTTCCCCTCTCTATATCTTTTTTTTTTCCATTTCGATATTTTTCTTCTTTGT